ACAATTATTGGTACCAGCAGATGATCCACCAAATCTGCTGCCGAAGGCACTGCTCATACGAGGGAGGGGAACTACTCAGACATCTGTCACATGCCAGGAGCCGTCAGGCTTCCTGACCTTCTCTGGCTATAGTCTCGGCTACAAGCCACACACTGCATCCACCCCCAGGACGCACTTACTCCTAGATTGGGGATTCTCTACTCTTTGGGGTAATCACCAGCCCTCAGGGTTTCTGTCTGCTGTCGCTCCAACACTCAGCTTTCATAGCTACCCATGTGACACGCAGACCCCTGCACTCAGGCCAACCCACTGCACAGCACATGGGTCGGGGATCCAAACTCTGTATGCGGCCTCTCTTAGGTCCCCTCTTCGGCTTGGGCTCAACCCCAAGCCCCGTTCCCCACCTGTCCCCCAAGGATGGGTTCCTCAGCTCCTCACCCTCAATCAAGAATGAGCAGGGCATCACCCACAGGTGGTTTTACGAGACTCACTGGCCTTCCTCAGCTTACTTGGTTCTGAACAGACACTCAGGGCTTCCCAAACTCAGCATCAGCACCAGCTTTTGCCTTCTCAGTTGGCTTTTCTCCTCCGCCTAGCTGCTGGGCACACACAGGCTGCTTTCAACCATCAAGGCCCACTGGCCACGCCCAGATTCCCATTTTGTGGGGTGTACAAAGATAGTACCCTCCCCCATGATCCCCAAAACTTAACTTGCCAAAGATCCTCCGTCTTCTGGCGGGATTGTCAGTCCAAGTCCATCAGTCCAAGTCCATTGGCCTCTCCCTGCATCAGCACTGGTGAGTTCCAAATCATGGTCCTCTCTTCCCCAGCATGCCTCAGGGGTCGTTGGCTGGTCCTCTGGGGCATCTCCTCCACGCGAGGTCTCGTCCTGCAGCTCCCAGACCTTGTCCATCTGCTGTGCCACCATGACGCCTCCAGCGTCGTCACAAGCAAACACAGTCTGTTACTCCTTAGTCCCTCCAGGTCTTTGGAGGGCTCCATACCCGTCTGCAGGGATCATCTTGTGGACTTACGCCAATTGTAGGGGCTGGAAGGACCACTGAGCAGGTTTTCTGATCTCATGCAGACCGGGTAAAGGAGGAGTCCGAGTCCTCAGAGGCTCTTGCAGGTTTTTTATTTAGATTTACCAGGTACAAGGCAGGCAGGGTTGCTGGGAGCCGGGAGGCTGGCAGGCCTCCCAGCCCCCAGCAAGTCTTCACTCTCTCTGGGTTCCCCGGCCTTCTCTCATTCTCTCTCTGCTTCTCTTGGCTTCTTGGCTTCTCTGTTTCTCTTTCGGCTTCTGCTGGCATCCCTGTGACGCCACCCTTAAAAGCCCAGTCTTAGCCCAGGTGAATCCCATCTACCTATGCCCACACCCTATTGCAGGTGCCCGCCATCAGGCATGCATTCAGGACCTCAAGGATCCATCATCTATCCTGATGGCGGGAGGGCAGAAAAGCCTGACATTTTTCCTTACCCTACAGACTATTGTCAGGATTTGGATGTTTTACAATTGTTATAATGCCATAAAACTGAGTCTGTATAATTGTAATGTAAACATGGATTCCTAGATCTTCCCTCATGGTAAAGTGGGACTTGCTTTTCTCCTGTTCTTGTTATTTTTTACTTTAGGTTTACTTTTTGGAAACAGTCTTAAAATTAAAGTTCCAAGTTGTAGTAGAAAAATATTTTTTTGACCCTGAACCATTTGAGTAAATTGGTAACATGTTATCTCCCCGATCATTTAGTGTATATTTCCTGCAACTCAGTTCATTCTATAAAACTACATGTAGCCTTTCCTATAAGAAAATTAACACTAGTAATTCTGTTATTTAATCCCCATATTCTTTTCAAGTTTTGTTCATCCATAGTACCTTTCATAGCAAAAAAACAAAAACATCCCGTCCATATCCATAAATGCCTTTAGTTGTCATGTCTCTTAGTCTCCTGCAACTGGGAACAGTTCTTCAGTCTTCTCTTGACTTTCTTGGCCTTAAATCTTTGAAGAGTAAATTCTAGTAATGTAGAACGTACCTCAGTATGGATTCTTATGTGTCTTTATGGTGAGATTCAGATCGTACATTTTGCAAGAGTATTAAAGAAGTATTGCAGCCCATCATAGGACCGACAATTTTGTATGTCACCCAATGGTGATGTCAGCATTGGTCAGTGAAGGTAGTATCTGCTGAGATTCTCCTCTATAATGCCACTTTATAATTTAAATAGTATTTCATGGGAAGTACTTTGAGACAATGTGAATAGCTCTGTTCTTCATCATACATTTTGGTTTTTTGAATCTTAAAAATATTTATTGTGATTTTTTAAAAGTACATCAGCACGAGTACAAAAGTTCAATTGCCATTTACTCATGAAAATAACCTTTAATTTCCTCAATTAAGATGGAATGTGTTTTTCCACCACAGACATGAGAGGATTCAGAAAAGCATGAAAATCACTTACTCTACACATGACATTTGATATATTTGCCGAATTATGCACTGTATCCCATGGAGTTTATTCTTGGAAATCCCCACTCTGTGCTACCTACCTGAGCATCCTCTAATGCCCTTCACAGCTTCATTGACCATCCTCTGTGATACCTGACTTTTGCACTTTGGGATGAATAATCTTGTATACTGTAACAAAGAGTTGTAGTGTACATGCTTGTAGCTCATGTGCAGGACTCTGGAAACAGAGCCTACAGTAATCAGTACATTATTCTGCACTACAGCACTTGGGGATCAGAGCTGGGTGTGTGACTAGAGTCAGTGACTTGGTGACTGCAGACCCAGCTGGCCTCAGGCCATGAGGAGTGTGTGCCTGTGACCAGCAGGTGAGGCTGCGGGACTATTGTGAAGGCTCCACACAACTGTAGAGTGAGGGCCATTCACTCAGAGAAGACTGGTGCTGTGGCTGTGCTTGGGCTTCCTGATGGGATTCACCTGCGGTGTCCTGTCTGGCCTGGGGTAGTCCAGGTACAGTTGGTTTCCCAAGGACTTCCTCAAGAGGAGAGCAAATATGCTCTGTAGGTAAAGAAAATATCAGGCTTTTCTGCCCTTCCGCCATCAGGATAGATGATGGATCCTGTCCTGAATGCATGCCTGATGGCGGGCCCTGGAATAGGGTGTGGGCATAGGTAGATGGGATTCAGCTGAGCTAAGACTGTGCTTTTAAGGGCGGCGTCACGGGGGGACGCCAGCAGCACCAGCAGCAGCAGCCGCAGCCGAAGCTGAGAAGCAGCAGAACGAACGCTAGAGAGCCCAGATAGAGTGAGGACTTGCTGGGGGCTGGGAGGCCTGCCAGCCTCCCAGCCCCCCAGCCCACCCCTGCCTGCCATATGCCTGGTGAACCCCAATAAAAAAAACCTGCAAACTACTGAGGACTCTGACTCCTCCTTTACCCGATCTGCATGGGATCAGAAACCTGCACTGCGCCCCTTCGGCCCCTTACAATTGGCGTAAGTCGGCAGGATCCATGCAGACGGGTATTGGAGCCCTCCGAATACCTGGAGGGACTAAGGAGAACAGACTTTGCCTGTGACGACGCTGGAGACACCATGGCGGTATAAAGATGGATACGTCCACGAGCTACAGGATGAGACCGGCATGAAGGAGACGCCCGAAAGGACCAGCCAACGACACGGAAAGGACCAGCCAACGACACCGGATAGGACCAGCCAACGACACCGGAAAGGACCAGCCAATGACCCCTGAGGCAGCAGCCATTGCTGAAGCAGGGAGAGGCCAATGGACTGATAGACTGATGAACTGATGATTTTGGACTGACATCCCGCCAGAAGGCGGAGGACCTTAGCAGGTTATGTTTATTTTTTGAGAATCTGGGGGTGGCCAGTGGGCCTAGATGGCCAAAAGCAGCTGTGTATGCCCAGTGGCCAGGTGGAGGGAAAAGCCAACTAAGGTGGCAAAAGCTGGTACTGATGCTAAGTTGAGAAGCCCTAAAGCGGCTGTTAGCAGCCTGGGTATGCTGAAGCCCTGTGAGTCTCGTAAAATCACCTATGGGTGATGCCCTGCTCATTCTTGAGTGAGGGTGAGAGCTGAGGAGCCCGTCCTTGGGGACGGGTGGGGAATGTGGCTTGGGGTGGAGCCAAGCCAATGCAAAGTTTGGATCCCCAACCCATGTGCTTGTGCATGGGTTGGCTTGAGAGCAGGGTCGTGAGTCGCATGGGTGGCCATGAAGGCGAGTGTTGAGCGACTGCAGACAGAACCTGAGGGTTGGCGATTACCCCAACAGAATAAAATTGCCCAATCCCAGAGCTAGTGCATCCTGGGGGTGGATCTGTGTGTGCCTTGTAGCCGAGACTACAGCGAGAAGCCAGGAAGCCTGACGGCTTCCTGGTGTGTTTATAGCAGATGCCGTGTGTGATTCCCCTCCTCGTATGAGCAGTGCCTTCGGCAGCAGATTTGGTGGCTCTCTGCTGGTACCAATAATTGTCTTTCACTTGGTTGGTGCCCTGCCTGGACTTATTTGTGTTCTGTTGTATTTTGTTATTTGTTTTTGTTTATTTGATGTATTTGCTTTTGTGGCCATGGCTGCATTGTTTGTTTGCTTAAAAATTGTGTATATATGTATAGACTGTATGGCAGAAACCCTGAGGGGGTGGACTGTAGGGTAAAGAAAAGATCAGGCTTTTCTGCCCTTCCGCCATCAGGATAGATGATGGATCCTTGTCTGAATGCATGCCTGATGGCGGCACCTGAATAGGTGTGGCATAGGTAGATGGGATTCAGCTGAGCTAAGACTGTGCTTTTAAGGGGGCGTCACGGGGGGACGCCAGCAGCACCAGCACCAGCAGCAGCAGCGCAGCCGAAGCTGAGAAGCAGCAGAACGACGCTAGAGAGCCCAGATATGAGTGAGGACTGCTGGGGCTGGGAGGCCTGCCAGCCTCCAGCCCCCCAGCCAGCACCCCTGCCTGCCATATGCCTGGTGAACCCCAAATAAAAAACCTGCAAAACTACTGAGGACTCTGACTCCTCCTTTACCCGATCTGCATGGGAGCAGAACTGCACTGCGCCCTTCCGGCCCCTACAGCTTCCTTCTCAATGTGAAGTGTGAGCTGAGCTCCAGCACCAGGACTCAGGGAGGGGCTGGGCAGGCCCAGCTTGAAACACATTTGCATGCACAGCCCCTCCTGTGGCCCAGGGTGGGGAGAAAAGGAGGCCTGGGGCAGCCCAGCCCCATGTGGGGCCCAGGGGTCTGTGAGCACCATGGCCTGGACTCCTCTGCTCCTCCTGCTCCTCTTTCAATGCACAGGTGGGGGCAGGCCTCAGACACCCAGGTGTTCCTAATCTGAATCAATTTCTTGTACTTCTACTACACCAGCAGCTGCACCTTGTTTGTCCAGTTCATTCTGATGTGTCTGTGTCTGCAGGTTCCCTCTGCCAGCCTGTGCTGACTCAGCCGCCCGTCCTCTCTGCTTCTCCTGGAGCCAGACTCACCTGCACCCTGAGCAGTGGATTCAGTGTTGGCAGCTATGCCATACACTGGTACCAGCAGAAGCCAGGGAGCCCTCTCCGGTACCTCCTGTACTACTACTCAGACTCAGATAAACACCAGGGCCCCGGGGTCCCCAGCCGCTTCTCTGGAGCCAAAGACGCCTCCGCCAATGCAGGCCTCCTGCTCGTCTCTGGGCCACAGGCTGAGGACGAGGCCGACAACTACTGTCAGATCAAGCACAGCGGTGCTTCTCCCTGTGACCCACACAGATGGGAAGTGGGACAGAAACCTCAGCCTGCTCAGGGACCGAGTCCTCGACCCTCTCCAGTTTCAAATTACCTCAACACACTCATTGTACTTAGAGGAGCTTCCATGCCCCAGTGTCTGTCCTGCCAATTTTCTGTTCAGTGTGTCTGAACTCTCAGGAAACACAGAAACAACAGTGCTATGATGATACAGAAATCTTGCCTCGTTCAGTGTTTAAAAATTCTGAATAAAATGATCTGGGCTTTTTGTTTGTTTTGTGTTGTCTTTTTTACTCTTCCTTTAAATAGGCCTCTGCCTTTCTGAGCTTCTTGGTCGAGCCCACCCGGCCACGGCATGGAGCGTCCCCACATCATGGGCGCTGCTGCCCAGCGCTCAGAGCAGAGCCCCACCTCCCCCCCAGCTCAGTGCTCAGAGCTGCCTGTACATTGTCCCAGGGTGAGTCATGAGGCAGGAGCTGTGGGGTGAGACCCCTGTCAGGGAGGAACCCCAGCCCAGAGCTAATCACCCTCCCGCAGGCACCTGACCTTCAGTGTGAAGTCAGGAAGGGGCTAGACCTGGGGACAGGGGTGAGCCCCTGGGCTGAGGCTACAAATACTATGGGCGATGGTCAGGCCCTCACCCTCTCCTGTGGTCTTCGGGACTCACTCCCCTCTCGTGAGGGTTTGGAGGAAAGTGAGTGTGTTCTTGCTGGTCTTTCCATCCCCAAGAGTCTTGTCTCCAGGAGGAGAGTTCCCAGAGACCAGACCCTCTAAGCAAAACCTCATCTTCCTGTTCCTGATCATCCCACTCACTGGCTCGCTGCTCCTGCCACTCTCAACCAATCTCTTTAGCATGATAATGAAAGTACTAATTTTGCTGCAAATAATCTGTTCATGCATCCTTGAGTATGGGCATATTAAATGTGCTAATTTAACTATTTCCTCCATTTAATTTAACTGGTGTCACACAGAAGTTGTAGTGAACCTCAGAGCAAGGCTGCTGCCTATTTTAGGAAGCACCATATGTCTACCAGCCCCATAATCCCTTTTTCCTAAGCCCTCTCAGGACAGCGCCTCCACAGCAGCAACATTCCCCCAGGATGGAATTTCTTCCTCACACAGAGGGAAATACTGGTGGACCACAGGCCTGGTTGTGGGTCAGGGGCAGGAGGAAGGCGGCTGCTCAAACACCCCCCAACCCCCCACAGTGCTTCCTGAGATCTGAAGGCCCGCGGCTGTGTGTCCTGTGCCTCGGGGAAAAAAGTAAGAAAATGGACAGATTTTTCTTGTTCCTGAAAATATGAACTTCTGATTCTGGTAACAGAGGTGCTGTCCTCTCACATGTGTCCTCACTACCTACAACACATCCTGCTCCAAGGTTAGTGTCTTCAAGACTCTCGTCCTTTACTCCAGCACCCAGGACAAGGGAGGGCCTTGGAGCTAGTCAGCTTCCAGGGAGGATTTCATGGCGCAAACAGCTCAGGGTGTGCAGAGAGCAGAGTGGGTCAGGGGCCCCTCAGCCTCGTCAGGTCACACAGACACACACACACACACACCACACACACACACACACCCCATTCTCTTCTTTCTCAGCATACATTGTCATGGGCAGAGGAGTCTGCGAGTTGCCTCTGTGCCTCCAGAAATCAGGGCTCCTCCTCTGCCCGCAGAGAGGTCCTCAGTGTCAGGATGTTCAGGAAGCTGACTTTCCCTCTGCAGGAGATCCCAGCCACATGGATGACACTTGTGCTGTATCAGGACCAGACAGAAAATATCCTGAGCAACAGTTCTGACCTACTGCCAGGTGCCCAGAGACCCAGGAGTGGGGTGTGTAAGGTGTGCAACTCTGACGCTGGAGTCACATGGGCCTTCACACGAGGGGACACAGGGGTGCCTTTCATGAGACAGAAGACAAAATAAACCAATGAACAGCAACTTTAACAACGTGAAGCATTTTTCGATCCTAAAGAGGAAGAGTACAGGGATGGCCGCAGAGTCTGGGGCAGAGACCCAGAAACTGGGGAAGCCTGGAGGCCGCTCGAGCTCAAGCAGCAACCAGGTGATGAGGCTGCAGGTCAAGGTGGACGCTGGGGAAGGGATAAGGAGCCATAGAGCCAAGACCCAGCTCTCACTCAGCAGACACGCTCTGGTGCATCAGTGGCGTTACGAAGGAGAAAAGTGTACACTCCACCCTGAACCCCAAATTCCTTCTTATGGCTTCTGTGTGGATCTGCAGGCCCTGTCTCTCCCTGAACAGAGAACTCAGAGCACCAGACCCCAGGAGCAGAGGGAGAGGGGCTGGGGAGGGACTTCAAGGAGCCTCCTTCCATCAGGGATGCCCCATGGCCATGAGAGGGCACTGTGTGCAGAGACCTGGGAAAGCTCAGCCCTGAAATGTCACCCCAGCCCTGACATGGACCCCATGTGTGGGTCCCACCACACGTCTCCGATGTGGACCAACCAGAAGCTGTGTGTTGGCACATGCTGTGTCGTGGGGGGAGAACATTTGCACACTGGTCCCGCCCCCCCCCCCCCAGGACCAGGAGGGCTAATGAAAGCCTGGAGGCTGCTGTGTGCTGTGGGGTCTGGGACAGCCCAGCCCTGGGGTGACTGCACCATGACCTGGGCTCCTCTCATGCTCACACTCCTGCATGCTCACACTCCTGGCTACTGCACAGGAGTAGCCGGGGCAGGGTTTGGGTGGGGATGTTCCTGGGCTGGGTGGGAAAAGCCAAACTGCCCTTCCACGACCTGTCTTCTCTCCTGACCTTGGAATCCCATCAGTTTTCAAGGGCTACATGTCAGACTGCGGTGATTCAGGAAACTTCTTTGACCAGAAATCCTTCTTTGACCACCCTCCCCTGTGGCTGCAGGGCTGGGGCATCACCACCAGTAACTATGCCAGAGGGGTCTAAGCCATTTGCATGGACAGCCACCTTGTGGCAGAGAGGAGAAGACTAGGAGGCCTGGTGCAGCCAGCCCCACTGTGGAGAGCAGAGTGCTGTGAGCACCGTGTGCTGTGCACCCCTAGTCCTTTGCCCTTCTCTTACTGCCCAGATGACCGGATATGGGTCAAGAATAGGGCCCTGGGAAGATGCTCAGTGCTTGCAGGGCCTGGCGTTCCTGTCTCCAAGGCCCAGGTGAGCCATATCAGACGAGCCATGGCCTCGTCTGGGTCCAGGGCAGAAGGGCTTGAGCCTGGTTCACAGGAGGAGAGCAGGTGGGATGCACAGAATGAAGGGCCCCTGTGTCATCCGGGAGGGGAGCAAAGGGAGAGATGAGGGTCCCTGTCCCAGCTGGGGCACATGGTCAGAGCTCTGGGCACATCTCCACCAAGGCCTGGAGCCCTCTCCTCTGCTCCCTCTTCACTCACAGCACAGGGGCTGGATTCGGGGTTCAGGTGAAGGTCCTAGGAGGATAATTGGATCTTTCTTCCTCCTTCGTGAGGAGCCTGCTAAGCAGCTGGGCTGAGTCTCCATCTTTACGAGTCTTTGTATCATTGAAATGAATCATATATGTGATGGCTCATTGATTTATTAATCTGTTATGGAAACCTTTTATAACGTGTGTATTAAACCATTTGCATCGATAATTAACATTATTTGTCTATTAATATTGCTTTTCTGTGTAAATTGCTCCTTAGGCATACTTACCACTGTTAGAACTGCTTTGAAAAGATGTTGATTTTTTATTTTATGGGAATAAAACCCATGAAATGAAGAAAACTGGACCAGTGTGAGCTCTGAGATTTTGTTGCGGTGTCCTGTGAAATTATCTGCATTTTATGCTATTGGGTGGAATTGTTCCTTAATAACATTCCCTATTCATTCAAATGAAATCAACATGGTTTTTAATTATGTTTCTCTTGAATCTGACTTCCTAGGAAAGAACATTTAACTTTTTTTTTATTTTATTTTTATATTCCCCATACAATTGCAACCCCCTTATTTTGACCCCAATCTCTCTTTTCCTGCCCCACCCCCCATAGTGTGTCTCTGGTTCAGATTTGTTTGTTGATTTTGATTTTTTCTTTCTTATAGTTATTCTTTTTCCTGGTCCCTTATTTAGGTTTCTAGATTTCCTGCTATGAGTGAGACCATCCAGTATTTTTCTTTTTCTTTCTGGCTTATTTCGCTGAGCATGATCCCTTCCAGCTCCATCCACGTTGCTGCAAATTGCATGTGTTTATCTTTTTTGAATGCTGAGTAATATTCCATGGTGTATATGTACCACATCTTCTTGATCCAGTCATCTATTTTTGGGCATTTGGGTTGTTTCCAAAGCTTAGCTATTGTAAATTGTGCTGTTATAAACATAGGGGTGCAGGTGCTCTTTGGAATTGATGTTTCTGTGTCCTTTGGGTAAATACCTAGGAGTGATTGCTGGATCATATGGCAGCTCTATCTTTAGTAGGTCCAGAAATCTCCACACAGATCCCCATAGTGGTTGGACCAGTTTGCACTCCCACCAGCAGTGCAGGAGAGTTCCTTTTTCTCCACATCCTCACCAACATTGGTTTTTGCTAGTTTTTTTTTAATATGTGCCATTCTCACTGGTGTGAGATGGTATCTCATGGTAGTTTTGATTTGCATTTCCCTGATGACAAGTGATGTTGAACATTTTTCCATATGCCTGTTGGCCATTTGTATTTCCTCTTTCAAGAAGTTTCTTTTTAGCTCTTCTGCCCATTTTTTGACTGGATTATTTTCTTTGTTTTTGTTGAGTCTCTCCAGCTCTTTGTAGATTTTTGTGATCAGTCCTTTATCGTTAGTGTTGTGTGAAAAAATTTCCTCCCAGTTTGTGGGGTTTCTCTTTGTTTTGGTTACTGTCTGTTCTGCTGTGCAAAAGCTCTCTAATTTAATGTAGTCCCAGCTGTTTATCTTTGCCTTCACTACCACTGCTTTGGGCGATGTGTCTGTAAAGATGTCTTTGAGGTGCATGTCATGTAGTGTTTCACCTATATTTTATGGTTTCAGGTCTTATGTCTAGTTCTTTCATCCATTTTGAGTTGGTTTTTGTGCATGGTGTGAGGTAGTAGTCAAGCTTCATTATTTTGCATGTAGCCACCCAGTTTTCCAGCACCATTTATTGAACAAACTTTCTTTCCTTTCTTCTACTGGCTGTAGGGGTTTTATTGTTGTTCTTGTTCTAGATCTTTGAGATGTGAAGTTAGGTTGTTTCTTTGAGTTCTTTCTTGTTTGTTGATATGAGCCAGTATTGCTTTATATTTTCCTCTATATTTTCCTGCTTTTGCTGCA